TGAGACAGCAGGGCTGCCCGCTGCACCACCATGCTGCCCTGTTGTGTAAGAATGCACAAGAGAATTATAAGAAACAGAATCATTTACATGTTCTCTATTTAATATTTTTAGAACCTAGTAGCCAAATCTAAAGCTAAACAATGAAAAATGATAATAAATACCTCAGAGGTGTACCTGGTATAATGTGGTACCACATAAAAGCAGCAGTGAGTTGAAAGTCGCTCATATTGTGATCATCAGTAGACCAACACGTCAGTTGTCCTATGTGCATAAGGAGAAATAGTAAAACCATACATGCATGCAGCAGCTTCAAGAAAATAATCAGAGCATGGATATACATTTAGAAAAAAATCAATAATACAGAATTGTGTCAGATTTGCAGTAAGCAAATGCTCATAAATCATATACAAATACATCTCACAGGGAAAAAAAATCAAAGAGGCTTCTCAAAGGAGAGAAATGTACTAGCCTGTCATCCATGTATTCCCTCTGTGTTGGATGGTATAACAGGGCTGTAGCGGTTTGAGAGCCGTTGAGATAGTGCTGTCAGATACGTGTCTGTCTTTACTGTACATCCTGTCAATCTTATTCCCTGTGGAGGTCACAGGCTTGGCCCCATTTGTTCCTTGTTCACCTTCGTCTCCAAAATGCACCCAAATCTGTTCATGTTCATGTTTCCACTAATGTAAAGACCTATATCCAAGTATCTGCTAAGCAAAGTCTATCTTATATAACATTTATATTCAGAGCTTAATGAAGCATTATGTTGTTCTTTGTTAATCTAATTTTTTATTTTACAGTTTACATGCCGCAGAATAAATGGTTCAGTGCTATTGAGGCAGTAATGAGATCAAGTTCATTCAGTCAATTAGCATTCATCTCATTTCGATATATGAATGAAAATCTAAAGCCTTTTATTGTCTGTAGATCTGCAATTTTCACCCTTGATTTATTTTTACGCTTTTAATTTTTTAGGGCCAATCACAGGCTTTTGTTTACCCTATAACAAGATTCTGATTCAGGAGAATAGAGAGGAGCAATAAAAGGGCTCCTGTCATACCTCAGTAGGATTTCATAAATCATTACTGGGAGATTGTGCTGTTTTTGAGTGATAAATATTTCACGTGATAATTAATCACAGAGAAGACCTGTCATTTTTACTCCCTTTAAAATGAACTCCAGTTAGTGAAAGGCCTGCGGTAGGGACCGTTGTAAAAGTAGGACACCTCTGATGTTTTTTTTTTTTTTTTTCCACTGCATTGCACACAATGCAAAAAAAAATAAAAAATCCCCAAGAGAAGCAGCAGTGATCTAGCAAAAGCTGCATAAGTTTTCTATCCCTGGGAATCGGTATGACAAGACCATCAGCGTGGAACTAATACTCTCGAAATGCGGCGGCAGCCGCTGCATCTCTTAGAACGGAGCTATATTTGCTGGCACTGATTTCCACCAAAACAAGAAATATTCATATGGGGACACAGAAAAGTGAGGCAAAAGTTGAAATTTGCTTTCTAATGAAAATACAATATGCTAGCTTTGCCTCTTTGTCCCAGGTGTGTGTCAGTACACTCAAATTCTTTGCATATACACATGTAATGTCACTATTTACCCAAAACTAGTATTGAACTCACCTTTCAGAGAAATGTTTAGTTTAAGCCTAACCCAATAAGCACTTGAGTTTGAAAAGTTTGTGCCCCACTATAATACAGCTACAAATATGTATGCTAAATAAAGGTAAAAGACATTCTAAAAATAGGTAAAGTGTCAAAACTATTAGAAAATAGCATTTTGGCCTGTCCCAGCCCACTGTAACTACTTTACCTTGAAATATAATCTTTAAAATGTGTGTGTGTGTATATATATATATATATATATATATATATATATATATATATATATATATATATATATATATATAGTTGCATTAATGTGTGAATCTAGTGTTTGTACATCTTTTTCCCTAAGCCACCTTATTGGTTATGAAAAATATCCTTCTTAATTGTGTCCCACGACATTCACTCAGCCCTACTACCCTACTAACACATTCATATCTATGAAATATTGTGAAACTAGTGAAACAGCTAGTTCACTGAAGGGGAAAGGACAGGAGGGTTAAAAATGCTTTTGTGTTTACTTTCCCTTTGCAAAGACTTTGAACTTTGACCTAAGCTATTCGTGAGACTTAGTCTTGTGAGCCAAAAGAAATCAAGCAAGCAGAACTGTTGTGTCAATTTGGTAAAAAAAAAAAATTAAAAAACAAAAATTGGAGCTGCTAATAATTATATAGCAGTCACACTGGACCTTTGCCTTGCTGTTTTCTTGCTGCTGCTTGCCTCACACCTGAAAAGAAAAAAAGAAAAAAAAGAAAAAATAGGCATATTTTCCAACACAATACCTTAATGTTTTTGTGATAAAATTCTGTTTTTTTTCTTTGCATGCTCTTGTTAGCAATGTTGCCACCTTTGTCATTCCATGCAAAATCTTTCCTCGCTATTTCTTTAACCTTTTAAGACTCTACAGTCTTGTAGTTCCTCCATTTTTCTACCTCATGTGTTCTGGCAGTGGTAAGTGCCTTCATGTGTGAGAATGGGCGCTCAGGCTGCTGAGAACATGCTGGAATGGCTTGGCAGGAAGGATGTTTATGAAATGAAATTTTGAGTGCATTGCTTCACTCCGATGCAAAAGCTAGTTAAAATGAGTTAGACAGTGAGTCTTGACTTCAGGTCTCTCACTCCCTCCTTCTCTTTCTCTCTCTCTGTCTCTCTCTCTCTTCATCGCACAGATGCTCAAGGTGTCGAATGTTAGAGACATAGAGGGAGTGATGAATGGAAAGTGTTAGGACTAGCTGATTTGCATCTTTACTGTCTGCTTTTGGGTTCAGGTGGCAGCCATAAATCACACTGTTTTAGAGTACACTGCAGTCTCTTTAAACAAGAGAGGCCTTTTCACTGTCTCTCTGTGTTAGCTTTGCAAAATAATGGGCCAAACCTGTCCTCCATCTTTCCCTTACTGCACACTGCCTCTTCCTCTGAGTGCTGTTCTGCTGAATTCGCCCCTCTCAGGAAGCTTTATTTACTCTCTATCTGCTTTGCTCTTATGAGGCGGCAATCCCTTCATGTTGAGGCCTGTCTGCAGGCACTGTGTAGGATGTCGGAGCTCGGATGATGCTGGCACTTTTCGATAAGAGCAGAACCTAGCCCTCCATTTAAAGGAGGAGAAAGGGGGGAGAACAGTGGGCAACCACATCAGGAACTTTTTTTGTGCAGTGGACAAGTATCTATGGCGATCCCATTCAGACCTTGGTATTAATATCCATCTCGGGTGATCGGATCACATGTGAACATTGCTGAGTGCAGGTTTGAATGAGGTCAAATGTGTCTTGTTATCCAATCACTCAGACCACTTGTGGAGGAACCCTAGGACACTTGGCCACTTTACATTTGTAGTGTGGACTACAAAAATTCATGTTTAGGGGTGGCTGGTGTAAATGGGATAGCAGGGCTATGTCCTTCTAGTCTTTCAAAAATTAAAAATCATTAAAAATTTAAAATTAAAAGTAAGATCTAAGCTGTTTTGTACTGCCCAGCCACACTGTTGATATACATACCAGGCTTGAGCTTTCTTCATATACACTATATGTGGACACCTGACCATCATGCCCACATGTGCTTGTTGAATGTCCCATTCCAAACCATGGCATTAATATGGGGTTGGTCATCCTCCTTAGAGAGCTATAACAGCCTCCACTCTGCTGGGAAAGCTTTTCATTAGATTTTGGAACGTGGCTTTGGGGATTTGTGGCCATTCAGCCACAAAAGCATTAGTGAGGGGCCTGGCATGCCGTCTTCTTTCCAATTCCAGCGGTGTTCCGTGGGGTTGAAGTCAGGGCTCTGTCCAGGCCACTCGAGTTCTTCCACATCAACCTTGGCAAACTCCGTCTTTATGGACCTCAATTTGTGCACAGCCTTAGTGACAGTGAAGGGAACTAAAGACATTCTAGACAATTGTGTGCCTCCAGCTTTGTGGCAACAGTTTGGGGAAGACTGACATATGGATGTGATAGTCAAGTGTCTACATATTTTTGGCCATATCGTGTATTATATTACATGCATTATTACAATATGTATGCTTCTGGTTACTGTTCTTAACATGAATTCTGCTCATTTACTGCATGATTGTTGGCTATTTGTGTCACTTAATAGACCCTTAAATGAGACACGTCACTTTGACATCAGACACGCCTCCTGGTTGCACAAACATAGTGGGAGATTATAATGAGTTTTATGCGCAGGCCAAAATTTGTTTTCTAAAATGTCACATTGTGATGTTGGCTGTAAAATCTGGAAAAGTATTCTTAAAAACATTTTTTACTGCATACTATCAAATCGGACACCTTTCCAAGTCAAGAGAAGATGATTGTGGTTACAGGAAATTAGCAGAGATAATTGGTCTGAGGAGCTCCATTTTTTGCAGTGTCCATTCCATCTCAGCCAAATAACTATCATATCAGGGAAGTAATTAAGATTTTAACAGGCTTAGCTTTACATTGCTTTAACAAACCTGTGTACCTCACCAAAAATCTGAATGAAGAAATCAGCTATCTAAGGCTAGAGAGCTAGGTCAGATTTTGTACTCAGATGTTACATATAACGGGCACGTTTGTTGTAATTGTTGAACAGGACACCGAGCCATAAGGATCTTCTAGAGTGCATTTTAGCATTTTAGCTAATGTAAATCCAATTCCTAAGTAAGATTCTTCAGTCAGATTATAAAAGAGATGGACATGCATCCTGGTTGCAAAAAGACTCGAGTAGCCTAGCAACTCGAGTCTTTTTGCAATCAGGTTGCATGTCCATCTCTTTGTGTTTAAAAACACTGAAGGAGTCATTCTCACAGCAATTTTGCATAATAAAATGAGATTTGTTTTTGCACCTTGATGAAAAAAACTATTTTCGGAAACAGGATATATTTAATACTACTTCATGAAGACATACTGTAGGTCCCTGGAGGACTAGTGGTTAGGCCACAGCGCTCTCACTACTGCGGCCAGGGTTCGCTTCCTGGGCAGGGAACCAACCCCAACCCCAGCCACTGGGGTTGTGTACAACAGTGCACTCTCAGTGCTGGTCTCAAGCCCGGATAAAATTGGGGAGGGTTATATCAGGAAGGGCATCTGGCATCAAATCTGTGCCAAATCAAATATGCGGACCAATGATCCATGGTGGCGACCCCTAACGGGAGCAGCTGAAAGAGGAGTAACAACATTAAGAAGTACTGTATGTTACATTTGAATATTACAATGCAATTTGCAATGATGGTCTTGATGTAGATGTTTAAAATAGTATATATGGTTTAGAGAAAAATGGCTTTGTTAAAGTATAGTTGTTGGACAAAATTGCAATATTAAAGCTGTTGAGCATACTAAATGGCCAGAAACTACTTTCTGCTGGACACAAAATTCAAAACTTCAATAAAGGTCCACTGTTATCAGAATGTACAGGTTTATAGCTCTTTGCACTGTGGTCAACATACTGACTAAATGGAACTCATATTTTATTTCAGTTTTTACTTTTCTCTCTTTTGTATGTGTTATGTGTGGTTTGTTTAATTGTTGAAAGCATGTGGAGTTTGATAAGCTGAGGAAAGTGCAGCAAAGACAGATGACTGCACGAGTATGGCTTTCTCGAGTCCAAGGGTTTAATTAAAAATGCTGTCTGATGGCTAAATAAAGGCTCTACATTATTTGAGTGTTGGTGTTGGCTGGTATTTTTGTGTATGGTTTTGAAGTGACATCAGGCTACTTTCAGCACGTTTGGCAGCTCTGTTACTGACCAGATTCATAATTGGTCACTGAAGACATCGGAGACATGTGAAAATACCAGGTGTGAATGGTTATCTGGTTAAACACTGTGTTGCATGCTGGGAAAGAGTGCTTCTTGAGTGATTTATTTATTATAACTGTGACTAGGAGTCTCACTGAATGTACTTTAATACTAAAAACACATACTCCATCATCGCTAAGAGAATATAAGGATATTAGGGAAAAAGAATAATTTGGTGACATCATAATTTCAGGATGTCAATACATAGCATTATCATTGCTGAGCTCTTTGTGTAAGTTTTATAAATTAGTCATCCTTTAACTAAGGGCATGATCCCAGAGAATGAGCAGTAACCGAATAAAGGCTGATAATTGTGGTAATTATAGGTAATGGGTTCCTAGACAGGCACAGTACAGGGGCATTGTGGGTCTTTGGTCTGTCCATGTAGAGGAGTGTGCAGTGAGTTCTGGGAGTTCAGGCTGTTTGTGTGTGTGTGTGCGTGTGTGAGAGACCTGCCATTCATCTTCTGTTTTGAGGATCCTCAAGTCATGTCAATTGGTTCTGTTATACTTTTGCAGTCAATGACTGCCTGAAGTCTGGAGCCCATGTTCTCAAAACTCAGATTCTGAGTTTCCTCGCTGGAGATGCTTTGCCAGGCCTTCACTGCAGCCACCTTCAGTTGCTGCTTGTTTGTGGGTCTTTCTGCCTTCAGTCTCGTCTTCAGTAACTGAAAAGCATGCTCTATTGGGTTGAGATCAGGTGACTGACTTGGCCCTGAAAATGGAGGTACTTTGCTGAAAATGGCTGTAATTCCTAAATGGTAAATGCCATATTTTTGTGGAACCTCTTAAAATAAAGCTGAAAGTCTACACTCCGATCACGTCTTGATTGTTTTATTTCAAATCCATTGTGGTGGTGTATAAAGGCAAAATCACAAAAACTCTGTCATTGTCCAAATACTTCCGGACCTGACTGTATATATAAAATACTCAGCCATGCAAATTAATAAAATACAGTATAAATGCTTAGAGATTGTGAGCTAGTAATTTTCAGTTTGTCATTACAAAAACACATACAATGAAAAACAATAAAAAAAAAATTGGGCTACTCTTATAATAAATATAAAGTTCATTTAATTGTTACAGGCAAAATGTAAATATTCTCAGGCTCAGCTGATGAAATATATGGTTAAAAAAAGCAGTCATACATTCTACACATGAGGCCGAACATTCACATTGAACGTATGAAAGGTTCTGCAGTTAGATTTGTGGTATGCAAAAGTTTTTCCTTCCTTCCTTCCCTCCTTCCCTCCCTCCCTCCTTCCTTCCTTCCTTCCTTCCTTCCTATAGTACTGGTTTGCAAATGAATGGTCTCCCAGAGTTTGTAAGAGAAAAACTTCAGTAATGAGTGCATAGCTCTCTGTCTTGGTAAGATTTCCCATTCGAAGCTCATCGTAGTGGTTTGCTCAAACTTCACAAATTCGTTCCCACTCCTGTGTCCAAATTACTTCAGCCTCATTGAGCTTATCACCCAAAGAACACAATACCTACAGTGAAGCATGGTATCATGCTATGGGCTGCTTCTCTTCAGATGGGACTGGGGCTCTGGTCTAGTTAGAGGGAATCATGGATAGCTCCAAATACCAGTCTATTTTGGCTCAACACCTGCAGGCCTCTGCTAGACAGTCAACAAAGGAATGGCTTCAGAAGAAGAAGTTCAAAGTTTTGGAATGGCCCAGTCAGAGCCTAGATCTAAACCCTGTTGAAAACCTGTGGAATGACTTGAAGAGGGCTGTGCAAAGAAGATCACCTTGCAATTTGATAGATGTGGAGCATTTTTTTTAGAAGGAACCAAATCAAGATGTGCTAAGTTGGTAGTTTTTATTACACAAAAATATTAAATGCTGTATTACAAGAAAAAGGTGCTTTTACAGTGTATTAGTTAAGGTCTGTGCACACTTGTGCAACCAGGTTATTGTAAGTTTTTTTTCTTTTTTCCTTTTTGCCCTGAAATGCATCTGTTTGTCTTTCACTTGAATTTTGCTGGCTGCTATATCACATTAAAAGTGGAAAAATGCTCTGACATGATAAATATTTGTTTCACCTGCACAAAAACCTGCAATTTTAACAGCAGTATGTAGACTTCTTAAATCGACTGTAAGAATATGTGTGTATGTGTGTTGCTTTGGATGTTGAATTGTCTAATTACTGAAAAGTAAATGCTGGAACGATGTTGCTATTTAATGGAATTGTGAACCACACACATCTAGACACTCACATAGCAACAAGAAAATAAAATAAAAGAAGAATGTAGACGCAACATAAGCTGCAAGCCATCGGTTGATTAACCTGCTGTTGAACAGAGGCGCAGTCTAATTTTTTAAACTTCTGCATCCTATGGTAAAAATTCATTTGTGCACCATGTGTGATCCATCCTCTCAATGTTGCTGATGTTGCCTCTCCATATTATATCTGTCCCACTGGGTTTTATTTGGCCTGGAAGGGCTTTCTTGAGTTACAGATAAGGAAAAGCAAGATGTCTTCCACACATTCATTATAGAAAGAAGATTGAGCGCATGTTCGTGTGTGCAAGAGTTGAAGTGATTAGCAGCAGAAAATAGCAGGGCAGCTGTGGGGGGAAATAGAGGTGGGAGTGGAACCTGTACAGCATGAGGGGCTTTTAATAAAGCTGACCTTTCTATGGTGGGCTTGTTATGAAAAAATGCTGCTTGGGGGATGAAATGAAAGGCAAGGGAGAATGAAAACATTTGAATCCTAGCCATAAATGGGCTGGTAGAATATTGGCCATGGAATTTATCTAAGCCTGGGGTTGTTTAATAACACAGTTGCTCTCTAAATGAGACTGAAGGGAGTTAGTCTCAGTTAATCACTGACAGCTAGCTGGTTATGTTGAGGGATCAATAGATGTGATCTATCTAATATTTTCCAACAATATCTAGCAATAAAGGTTTATCATCTAACAAAATGCATATTTCTTCAATGTTAGCTAATTAGCTTTTTTTTTTAAGTTCTTCTACAGAAGCTAGTTCTAGTTGGAAGTTGCTTTTCTACATTCCCTACCAATTTAAGATGATGCTTTGAATTCCAGTACAAATCTGAGCTGTACTTTTCCCTGTCTGAAACCAATTTCTTTCTTTTTTCCCCCCTTTTTTTACACTAGCAGTCATGAATTATCACGATAGCTTACTGGCCAGCAGTAGCATGAATGGGCAGGGGTGGGTGTTCAAGAAATAATAAATTCTTTTGCTAGCCCACTGGGCAACTGAGCAAGTAAAAGCTAGCCCACTGGGCAACATGCTTGCCAAGCGCCATGTTTTGTTTGCCCAGAAACCTGACTGACAATGCTCAAAAGTGATAGCTAACATAATGTGATAACACATTATCCTTGCATGACATGTAAGACATTTGAGTCTGGTTAGCGTCTTTATACCAAGAAGTGACTGCATGTAGTAAGCAGAAGAGTTATATGACAGCTTTGTGCTGCACTTTCCTTTCTCTGGTTTCATCAGTATTTCAACATACCTGTATTTCTTCTTTCTTTTTCTGGTTGTTGAAACTACTTGTCCACGGGACAACTGCAATTAAAAAGCTAATAGTTCAGATATGAAATCTGCTTGTCCCGGGCACCCAGTTTACTGATTTGTCCACCTGTACTGAGGCATACAATGGATATAAGTAGTCTACACATGCCTGTTAAAATGGCAGGTTTTTGTGATGTAAAAAAAAATTAAACCAAGATTAATCATGTCAGCTCTTTTCTCACCTTTAATGTGAAATTGTAAATTATACAAATAAAGTGAAAAACAATCAGAAACTTTATTTAGGGAAAAGAAAGGGGGGGGGGGGTGCATGAGTATGCACACCACTAAACTAATACAACGAAACTATCATCTTGGCACTTCTTGACTTGATATTTTTCCACTCTTTTTTGCAAAAACATTCTAGATCCATCAAATTGTGAGGGAATCTCCTGTGCACAGCCCGCTTCAGGTCACCCCACAGATTTTTAGTTGGATTCAGGTCTGGCTCTGACTAGGTCATTCAGAAACATTGATCTTCTTTTGATTAAGCCATTCCTTTGTTGATTTTGATGTATGCTTTGGGTCATTGGTACCAAAAGGTGAAATTCCTTCAGCTTCAATCTTCAGCTTACTAGCAGACACTTGAAGGTTTTGCACTACAATTGACTGGTATTTGTAGCTATTCATGATTCCCTCCACCTTAATAAAT